AAAAAAGGATGAGAAAAAGAAGAAAGAATAAAATATTACTAAAAATACATGTGGGGGCGCGTGTAGCTCACCACTTACCAAGAGTTTGGTTGTCAGCGTTAAGAGTGCAAATAATTTCATTTAAAATAAGTTTAGGGGGATAATAGGATTCCCGCAAAGAAAAAGTGTGTAATTAAAAATTCAGGTATAGATGAGGGAATACTTATGCATTTTCCCAATATAAGTGGATTACAATACCGTCTAACATAGAAATTAACCTATCGACTGATACTATCCCATAGACCACTGAGTTGAAGCATGATGGTCATTGTCGCCATGAAATTACATAAAAAGCAATTTTAGTGTGCGATTGCAATTGATTTCGATTTATATAAGAATCTGCGTGATTTTAAAGCTAAACTAATTGTGAATTCTCATTCGGAATACTTTTGTGTTGTAGTCTAACAAATTGTGAAGAAACTGTATATAGTTTGTATACTTTTGGTAAATTGAAAAATATTGTTTTAATATAGTTACTATTATAGTATCCACACGAAAAAATCCCTTTACATAAATCTTGGCCAATCAATCCCTATGATAAATTCATTTAGTGTCACCCTCATCCTTCAATTCGGTTTGATCAAATAACTTTGGTGTCGTTTTCTTCAAGTATTGATGAATTGTTTTTATTCGCTTAATTCTAGGGCGGATGTAGTCTTTCGGTACCAAGTTCATAAGAATCTAGTAAGTTTGACGCGTAGCAAAAATGTTATGTGAAAAATTCACTATAATTACAATAAATAATAGATATATATGAATTCATACCTTTAATACAATGAGTTTAATTATAAAAACCTTAAAGATTGAATCCATAGAGCTTAAAACCTGGATTCGCCTCTAAGCTTATACTACTAAACACATGTCCTAAACCGAGGGAAACCATTATAACAGTGGTATCGGGTTCAGCTTGTACACCTCGACTAATTCTACAAAATATTTTTTACCTCTTACCAACACAGATACTGAATAACTCTGTTCATAAAGACTTGGTAAAACAAATTACCTAGTATTTTTGCATATAAATTTTAGGCTTACTTGGTTTCCTCTTCTACTTTTTGCTTAATTTTTAAGTGAATAATACCATCTAATTAAACAATAAAATGGCATCACCACACTCTAAAAGATGATAAAGATTGTTTTCACTTTATCAAGTAGAGCGTTGTTACATGGCCCCAAACATGATCCTTGATATAAAGTTGTGGTGAAGACTTGATGGAGTCCTCTTTAAGGGGAAAAACTAAATAGAATATACTCAAAGTAGCAAAGTGATGAATAGTCCAAGCTGCAATTTCCCCTCTGATAACTTCATCTAGAGTGCCATCATTCTCATCATTCACTTTGATAAATTAGACTTTCCCTCGTGTGGAAATATTTGTTTTAGAAAATTAAACATTCAAACATGATGGTCAACCTTTCTTATGCAAATGCCAGGAAATTGGGGAGTGAATCCTAACATTTTGAAATGTGTCCTTAATTACAGGTTATTTGCAATGTATAAAAATATTGGATAGCCTAAAGAAACAAGCACATAAAAGCTTCTCATTAAGGATAGAATTAAAAATTTAAATTAAATTATTTTTTAAATTTAGAAAGAGATTATTCTTTTTTAAACAAACTAAAAAGGAACTGAGGGAGTAATATTTTTCAAAGTCAAGAAAAATCTAGGAAGTCTTATCCACAACTTTATCATAGTCCTAGTTGGGTCCATATATACACCTCCCCCAATTGATAAAGTGAAAGCCAACCGACTAGATCCCCAAGAATGTATTTGGTACGACTGCAGTCATTACTTAAAAAATTATTTTCACCAGCCAATTTTCAATCAAAAATTTCTTTCATAAAATCAAACACAAGCTTTGGAACGAACAAAAGAAAAGATATAAACAAAAAACGTCATTAAATTCAAAATAAAATTGAAGGACTCATTGGTGAAACAGAGCTAAGCAAAAAATTTACTAGTACTTCAAGTGGGATTTAAAGAATAAATTAAATTGTTATTAATTCTACCAACCTTTCAAGCTTGGCGATATCATGTTCTTCTTTAAATGGGATTTAACTTTATTGTTAAACAATTACACCGTAGCTAGTTAACTTTTACTAAAGGAAATGGAAAAGGGACAAATGATGAACCGTATAAATTAGACAATTGAAGTATCTAAGAAGAAGCTATATACAACTTAGAAAGACGGTGATGGTGCAATACTTTCCATGCTTTTAATCAGTGGCGGATGTAGTGTAGTATCACCGGATTCAACTGAACCTATAACTTTTGACGCGGAGTAAAAATTTGTGTAAAAATTCATTAAAATTACAAAAATAGTACATATGAACCCATAACTTTAAAAATCTAATGGGTTCGATGCTAAAAACTTTAAAAGTTGAACCCATAAGATTTAGATCCCGGATCCACTTCTGCTTTTTAACCCACTTCAACCCGAAGAAACTTATTCAATGGTTATCGCTAGGTGATTTTGGTCCCAAATCTTTGGGGTTTAGCGCATCAAAAGTGTGAGACAATGAAGGAAAATTCTTCCGCCCCAAAATAGGGGTTTAAGTGAATAGATTGAAGTCATTGATACGTGAAGAAAATGGCACCATAGTTCTTTGATTAAACTGAATTGAAGGATGAATTTATGAGAGGGTTCCATGGGCAAAGAAGACTTCGTAGAAAGACTTGTTCTACGAAGACTTTCATGAACAAGGAAAGTTACTATATTATCTCGATTTTAATTTATGTGATGACTTTTTTTATTACAACATGATGACAGTAGTCCATTATATGTCATATACTTATCTTTTTTACTCGATTAAACCCTTTTTTGGGTTGGAGGAATTTATCTTTGTTGTTAATGTGACAGTCGTTTTACACACATTTGATACTTCAAACTTTTTATGCACCGTCTTCTTCATATAGCATTAGGCATATGACTTAGTTGTATATCCCCTTGAAGACTATTTCATGAACAAGGAAAAATACGATATTATCTTTGGTTTTAATTTATGTGACAACTTTTTTCATTATAAGATGTATACAATAGTCCATTACTCCATTATATGTCATATACTTCTCTTTTTTACTATCTCTGTTTCATATTAGATGAGATAGTTTGACTCGACACGGAGTTTAAGAAAAACAAAAAAGATTTTTGAAACTTGTGATCTTAAAAGCTTAAGGGGTAAAAAGTTTGTGGGACCATGACATTTGTGTGACTATAAAAGCTTCTCTTTAAGAGTAAATGGGTAAAATGAAAGAGTTTAAAGTTGAATTATTTCCAAATTTAGAAATGTGTCATTTGTTTAGGAACAAACTAAAAAAAAAAGTATCTCATTTAATATGAAACGGATGGAGTACTAGATTAAATCTTTTTTGGGGCAGAAAAATTTATTTTTATCGTTGATGTGACAGTAGTTTTACACATTTGATACTTCAAACTTTTCCTGCGTTGTCTTCTTTTTGTTGGAAACTTCAAAGGCACAATTTTTGAACACCGATGGAGTACCTTTTATAATACATTTTATTCAAAAGTAAGGCATTTGTTATCGGCCTGATCTGATGGTTTTGAAAATATTTTACGTTTTAATATCTTTAGAATTGAGGATCATTATTTTTCATGAATTTAACTAAAGAATTTCCTCTGAGGGTAATTTTATTGACAAAAAAAAAAAGAAGTAATTTTGCCTCATATATATAAGATGCCAGTGTATTGAAAATTTGAGACTACAAACTATCACATTTTATCTTCTTCTTTTTTAAAAAAAAAAAAAAGGGGGTGAAATCCCATCTAATTAAAGAATATATAAAATGATATCACCACATATTAAAAGGAACTAAGGTAGTTTTCACTTCATCAATTGGAGTGTTGTACTCTGGAGAAGACTTGCTAGAGTCCTCTTGACTTGGGACAAAATTACTTTAAAATCAACAAATCTTCGAATTTTACGGTCAATATCTTTCGAGACAATGTATTCATCTGCAATTCTAAATACTACATATATGTATGCTTGACCTAATAACAATCTATAAGCAAAGACCTATTTGATATACACTTTTCAATTCTTAATCTAAAAGTTTGCACATCATGAAGGTGTTAGCAAAAACATTCTGTTTTTTCTTGTTTTTCATTTTGGGAATCACCAAGTTTAGTGTTAGCGTAGGAATTTGCAAAGAAAATGAGCAACAAGCATTGGAGAGTCTAAAGAAAGAAATATATGATCCCTCAGATTCTCTCTCCTTTTGGATTGTTGGAAAAGATTGTTGTGAATGGAAAAGTATTGTGTGCCACTAGGGGTGGCAAATGGGCGGGTTGGACTGAATTTGGGCGGGTCAAGATGGGTTAGGTCAATAAATGAGTCGTTGTCAACCCAGCCCAAAGTGCACTTGGGCCGAGATGAGCTGGGTCAAGATGGGCTAAACAATGGGTCATACCCAACCCGCCCAACTTGACCCAAGTTTTAGAACCATGCTCATCTTGCATAAAAAAGCCTTTTACCTTAAAATGTGTAAGCTGAAAAATATTTTGTGAGTGGAGTGGGGTGGATGGGTGGTGCAGAAAAATAAAAAAAAATAGAAAACAGAAAATTAAAACTACAAAAAAAAAGTAAAAAAAAAATTGAGGGGGTTTGCGTGGGGGTAGGGTGTAGGATGGGTGGGTGGTGTAGAAAACAAAAAAAACAGAAAATTAAAAATACAAAAAAAAAAAGTAAAATTGGGGTAACTAAGTAAATTTCTATATAAGTTAGGTTGAGATTCCTTTGTTTTGGGTGAGTTTCATGGGTTGTATGTGAGCTGCTTAATGGGTCAGAATGGGCTATAAAATAATTGGTTAACTTGGGCTCAGCCTAAATAGACCCATGAGCTAAAATATTTGTAGCCCAACACATTAATCTTTGGACGGGTTGTATAGGTTTGGGCTCAAATTGCCACCCCTATGTGCCACAATCTGACTCGTCATGTGATTGAGCTACACATATATGATTTTTTGGATATCTAAGGATCAATAAACTTGAGTGGCTGTCAAGTCTTTTAAATCTTGAAACATTGGAGAGTCTGAAGAAAGAAGTATATGATCTCTTAGATTCTCTCTCCTTTTGGATTGTTGGAAAAAATTGTTGTGAATGGAAAAGGGTTGTGTGCCACAATCTGACTCGTCATGTGATTGAGCTACACATATATGAGTTATTTTGGACATCTAAGAATCAATAAACTTGAGTGGTTGCCAAGTCTTTTAAATCTTGAGAAACTGGAGATTGATTATGTGGATCTCAGCAAAGCAACTAACTGGCTACAGGTCATTAACTTGCTTCTTCTCTTGTTGATCTTAGTTTATATAATTGTAGTCTTCGTCATATACCACCTCTAATTCATCGTAATTTTTTTTCACTTGAAACACTCAGCCTTTCTAGGAATAACTTTAGTTCTTCTATTCCTAAATGGCTCCCTAATCTTGTTTCTCTTGATTTGAGTGATAGTAATTTAATTGGCCCATTTCCTAAAGGTCATGTTAACTTTACTTCTCTCAAGACTTTCATGGCAGATTTCAACTCTTTCAATTGTCTTTTACCCAAATGGTTGTTTGATCTTAATAATCTTGAATATCTTGAGCTTATATCCAGTGGTATTGAAGGTGCGATGCCGAGTGGGGTTGGAAATGTAACAAAACTTAAAAATCTTGATATTACATTCAATAATATTGAAGGAGAATTATCTGAATTATTTACTGATTGGAGTAATTTTCTTCCAGCGGGATTGAGAAATAGTTCTTCTTTGACATAATTGTATCTAGAAAATAATAAACTGACTGGAACTCTCCCAGAAAGTCTTGGCCAACTCCCAATGCTAGAAATTATTGACATCTCTAACAATAGGTTGGAAGGTGATGTTACAGAAAGTAATTTCACCAACTGGACACAATTAAGGAAGTTCTTTGCATCTAACAATAATCTAATTTTAAAAGTGGGGATAATACATAAAATCCTCCCCGACCTATGACCATATTACCAATTACACACCTTTTTTTTTGGGGGGTCCTATTACCCCTCTAAACTATTTTAAAGTAAAATTATTTACCTTTTAAAAAGCTACAACCAGATACATGCAAAGTGGTGAAATACACGCGCCTAAAATGTGTATTTCTTATTTAAAAACTTTTTTTTACTTTTTTCTCCTTATTCCTCATTTTCCTATTTGCAGACTTTCATTACCATATCCTGCCAACATATGAGCTAACTATTAAATTTCTTAAAGCATTCTTTTTTCTCTTTCCTAATTTCTCAATCATTTTTCATTTCAATGGCCAGAACTTATTAGACGCTAGATGTCCCTTCTGATCTCTTTTTTTATCACGACTTGCCGTATACGACGAGATCTTTATTTTCTGGTGAACTAAATTTTTGATGGGTTTTATATAATACTTGTTTGATATGTCAGATCTGGCTGGAGAACAAAACTCTGACGAAGACCCTGCTCCGGTGAAACTCCATTGTTGTTGACCGTTTTGACTGTTCGTAGGTTTTTACTGAATCATGCTCGTTGCTCCATCTAGTTGTAGCTCTGTTTCTGTTATTAAACATATCTACTTTTGATTTTTGGTTGATTTTGCGTTATATTGGATTTTCACTCCGGCATTTCGCCGTTGAAACGATGTCCCTCTTATTTGTGCGAGAAGAGTTTTAGAAGACGAAGGAGACTAATTAATTATGTAATGTCCAATTAAAATACGACACTTGTACCTGTTAATCAATTTTAAAATTATTTTTGTAACTTCCAATTGCCCTTAAGAGAGTGTGCATACTCTCTATGNCCCCCTTCCTACAAAAAAGGTGTGTAATTGGTAATATGGTCATAGGTCGGGAAGGCTTTTATGCATTATCCCTTAAAAGTGAGTTAGAACTAGATTTCACATTTTCAAGCCATAGATTGATATACGCAATTGGAATATAAGTCATCTGTTTCCCTTGTGGCTCCAAACTCAAAAGAATATAAATAGTGTGGACATATCAAATGATGGAATACAAGATGAGGTTCCAACTTGGTTTTGGAACTTATCTTCTCAAATTCAATTACTTGATATTTCTCACAACTAATTTATTGGTGAGGTTCCAACCATCTCAACACCTTCTTGGTCACCTGGACAAGCTTATTGGTTAATATACTTGGATTCCAACAATTTCAGTGGTCCGCTACCTCAGATTTCACCCAATGTAACTGTGATAGACCTCTCGAACAATTTCTTTTCAGGGGGTTTATCTCAATTCTTGTGTGAAACAAATAAGAATAGATCCTACAAATTGGAGGTCTTAAACCTCGAGGAAAATGATTTGTCAGGAGAAATTCCTGATTGTTGGATGAACTGGCCAGAGTTAAAAGTTTTGATCTTGAGAGACAATAACTTGATTGGGGGCATACCAAGATCCATGGAGGTTTTAAATAACTTGATATCCTTGGACTTCCGAAGAAATAGACTTACCAGTCTATTGTCTTCATCATTGGAAAATTGCACAAAATTGCAGAAGATAGATATAGCTGAGAATGAGCTTGATGGACATTTACCACCATGGTTGGGAATGAGGCTTTCATATTTAATAATAGCCTTAGCTCAAACAAATTCTATGGTAAATTGCCTCCAGAAATTTGTCACCTCAAAGATCTTCAGATCTTAGAACTTGCAAACAATAGTTTCTTTGGAATTATACCAAGGTGTATTAGCAATCTAACACAAATGGTCACCGTAAATAAGTTGGGGGAAGGTGATATTATTTATGCTTCTCATTATTTTGAAGCACGTTTTAGAGAAAGCGCAATGGTGACAACTAAAGGCGATATTTACCAGTATGATAAAACATTGATATTGGTTACAAGCATGGATATGTCTAACAATAATCTCTCTGGAGATATTCCTATAAGTTTTACCAGTCTTGTAGGATTAAGATTCTGTAATTTCTCAAAAACCCATCTGACAGGTAGAATCCCAAATGGCATTGGTGACATGAAAGTGCTGGAATCCCTTGATCTTTTAGAAAATTAACTTTCTGATCAATTCCCACAAAGTTTATCGAGTTTGTCAACTTTGAGCTTCTTGAATCTATCTTATAACAATTTGTCAAGGAAGATACCTGTGGGCACTCAACTTCAAAGCTTTAATTCCTCGAGTTTCCAGGGGAATGAGCTTTGCGAGCTTCCACTCTTCTCGAACAGCAGTTCAGATGGTAAAATTCCTTATGTTCATACTGAAAAGGATGAGAGTGATGAAGATGAATTGGATTGGTTCTACATTTCAATGGCAATAGGATTTGGTCTTAGCTTTTGGGAAGTATGTTCTTGTTTGCATTAAGGTGTTCGATTCCTGGTAGCCTGCGTGTCTTTTGTTAGTTTTCTTGCAGGTAAGGCTGCTTACAATAGACCCTTATGGTCCGGCCCTTCCCCGGACCCCGCGCATAGCGGGAGCTTAGTACACCGGACTGTCTTTTTTTTTCCAGTTGATATTTCTTTAGGCATTTTGTTTTAATCTCCCTAGTTAGAGTAGATGAGTGTTTGCAAATGATGATTGTTCGCAAATGACTCTTTAAGGAAGCAAAACAAATATAAACTTGTTAAATAGCAAAGTTCTTAACTAGTGTTTTCTGATTTAAGTTCGTCTACCTCAAAAAATTGCAAAGTTAATATCCTTTCAACTATGTGCGCTGCCAACAGATCAAAGAGCTGATGAATTGTATAAATGTTGCCTTTAAAAAAGATAGCAGAAGATTTGAAAATAAATAATCCCTCTGTTTCAATCTCTCTTTTTCTACTGCAAAGGACTCATTTCCAGCCATTGAATACTTAATCAATAGAGAGCGCAAAATTCAGCTAAAAACTGAAAGAACATTCCATGAGGAAATGATTTTGTATTGTTGCAGATCATTCAAAATAGAGCAGAGAGAAAGCAATCGATTGAACCTTGTACTGTTATCAAATTCCTACAAAATAGAAGAAAATAAAAAATTTTGTTGGCTTTTACAAGATAGTCTCATAACATGCATATAAAACTAAACAGGACTAACCTCTGGGTGATTGTATTGTTCTACATATCTGATCACTGGGAATACAAAATGAGTCCAGGACATTTTTGACATTCTCAATACTGCCAAAGAACAAAAAATTTCAGGCAACTTCCCGATCAAGGGCTTTCAATGCAAGATCTGCAATATGCTCTTACATTAAACAACTCTGTGTCATAACTCACAAGAATTGATGAAGCAATGTTAAGGGATGCAATCAGGCAATACATTCTTAAAATCACTAGCTAACACTTGATGAAGAACCAAAGGCTTTTGAATTGTGCAACATTCTAGCATAGTATATTTGCTATCAAATGCAGTTTTACACATCAACCTGAAATCAAAAGATATTATATGTGCTTAAATAATGGAAGCAGATTTTGAAAGTCCTTTCCAATTTCTTTAAATTCAAGCTTGATGTAATTCTTTTCCGAAGGGTTAGGCTACCTGACTGAGAAAGTGAGCTTGCACTTTCTCTGAGCCTGCAATTCGTCGAGTGATGAAAGGAGTGCTTGCAAAGGTTCTCGTGGAAAACTTCAGCTATGAACCTAAAGAATTGACCATGAGGAAATGACAATTTTAAAGTCGAGCCCAGGTTTAGACAAGAATCAGTGACAGAAATGAAAAAGAACACGAGACATTTGCATCACCTGAAATTGTAACTCTTGTCCGAAGGTTAGGCTACCTGATTGAGAAATTAAAGGTACTTCTTTGTTATATTTACCCGTGAGAGTGTGAATTAAGTATTTTGTATTTCTGTCCTTTGTGGCCATAGGCATGCAATAACAATTTCGTCTAACGAGTTTGATTCAAATGGGTACTTACCATCCCTCTGCAGGTAAAGCTGCAAAGATGTAACACCTCTTATCAAATGCAAAGATCTTGTAAACTTTCTTATTCTGTATTAAGGTAAAAAGGACTTAGCTTTTGGGTAGCATCCAGCTATTTTTTCATGTGGTCTTTGAGTCCTCCAGCAATAATCGGTTGCACTACATGATTTCCTCTTCTAAAAAATTCTCTTTCGTTATTAAGAAATACTTATTACATGCTAAACTAACGCCATAAATTATACTTAAATATATATATTCTGCAAGCTTGATACAGAAATAACACAGTCAGAATAATTACATCGATAATGGAAGGAGTGATTCCATAGGTTCTGGTGGCAAACTTCATCTACGAACTGAAAAAACATTAGATGAGGAAATGACAAGTTTGCTATCCAACCCCGGCTTAGGCAAGAAGCAAAGACGGAAATGTGGAACAACAGAAGAAATTAGCATCACCTGAAAACTACCACAATTAAAGGAATTAATGTCGCGCTAAAACTACCATTCATGTTGGCTGTTGCACAGGAAGTGATTGGAGAGAGAGGGACAATTCAAATTGTGGTAACTTCTCTCTTTCGCTACTATCATCCTTAGTCGCATGTATTTCTAATAAAGGATCACATGAATGTTGAGAACTGACTCGCGCCTTTTGCTATAATTTAGGCAAATTACACTTACATTTATGAAACAAAAGCAAACTAACTGAGAATATATTGGAAGTGGTATTGCTGCCAACTACTGACAATGGAAGTTTACTTATTTCCTAGATAATTGGGATGGTTGTCCGCAATTTTTTATATGTATATATGTGTTTGTGTATATTTGAAATATAACTTCTATATGGAGCTTTAGAACAGAGCTAGCGTGTAATGACAAGCATAACATAATTCATGTCCCTGGTAGCAAATTGAACAAATTGGACGTCATTAATTGTGGAGAGGTGGATCATTCTGACAAATTTTTATCTTTCAAATTTATAATGGAAACGAAACATCAAGCAGTAGGATGGTTTGATTTAACTAGGAAAGAGTACAAATACCTACAGATTCATTAGAGAGGCTTCTAGCAAAATGGTTCCCACTCTGTAAACATTGCTTTGTGATCTGCTACAATATGTTGGAAAGGAAAACCTGGAAGTGATGCAATGCTGAAGAATTTGGTAGACAAATGAATGTTAACAGAGCACAGCCTCAAGACCAAAGTATTATTTGTCACACTCAGCTATCACAAAGTTGCGGACCTACACCTTTGAACAAAATATCAGTGCTGATAGTTAAGAGGCACTGGATGTCTAGGGATGGCAGTGGGGAGGGGCGGGTTTGGCAAAACCCACAAAAATTTCGCCTCGCCCCGCCCCGCATAGTTATTTTTTTCAGTTTTCAACCAGCCCTGCCCCGCCTCACTTATGTTTTTTTTTCATTTTTTTTTCCAAACAAACTAGTTTGACATACTCCAATCATACAAATAAATGAGGACAAGTACTTTTATTATGT